AGACCTCTCCTGACCTCCCGCTGCTCCCCTCAGCAGTGTATTTCCTTGATCTGCCTATTCTGCTCCCCGCTCTGTCTCCCGTAAAGCCTCTCACCGCCCCTGAGCCTCTGGCCTGTACCCCAGTTCTGTATGCACAAATAAATAAACCTTTAAAAAAAAAAGATTTATTTATTTATGCACACAGAACTGGAGTATAGGCCAGAGGTGAAAGGGCGGCGAGAGGATTCACCAGAGACAGAGTGGGGAGCAGAACAGGCTAGCTGACAAGGTGCACTGCTGAGGGGAGCAGTGGGCAGGTCAGGAGAGGTCTGCAGCGTGGGGATGGAACTCACGCTGAAGTGGCTTTAGCTTCTTCTTAGTGCTGTGCTTAAACCCGCTGTACCACGTGGAAGGGCCCAAAAATATGTCTTTTTTAAAAATAAGTTTTAAAAAAGGAAGTTCATAAGGTTAGTATAATATTACAAATCACGTATAAAACACGTAACAAATACCCCAAGCATAGCAGGCTAACAACACTATTTTTGATGTAAAATTATTTTAAATTTATGTATTTGCATATATTTTACATCAGTGTTCATTTTGCACAATATCTGCTTTCCCCTCTCAGGTGTACTCCCTGTAAAATCCCTACCACCCACTCACCCCTGCACCATCACCATAGTCCTTCGTGTTCGTCCTTTCCCTGTGATTTCAAACAATTTACCTTGTTTGAAAACAATGAAAAAAAGTAAACGCTGTATTAAACTGTTTATATCTCATTGTGCTATCTTTTCACATTTCCTTAACTGATGCATCTATCTCGGTTATATGTAGCTTTAGTCCAGACTAGTGGAATTAATAAAGTATCAATTTCTCAATTTTAAATCTATTAACTCATTCTTCGGAGAAGCAACTGCATTTATAGAGTCATCCTATTTCCAGAAACTTAATATAGAAAGGTCTAATACACAAAAATTGGGAATGCTTTACCTTATAAGTGGATTCCTCACAGTCTTATATCACTCCATTTGGAGTGTAGGAGAAACTGAGTTAAAAGTTACAAAGCATGAGAAATAAAGATGAAAGAACTTTGAAATAACAATGGAAGCAACAGACAGGATTTAATTTAGAAAGATTTGACCTATATACAACTTTTCAGGAAAATAACTACAAACTTCCTTGCTGATAATTTTCATTCCTAGAATGACAACAACAGCCAGCCATAAAATAACTGGGATACACACTAGGAACTCCTCAGGGCTCTGGGCATATGGGAGGCTCTTCATGCCTGCATTACCAACCCTCTTGGGACCCACCCAGTATACTCCCCACTCTTCTTAAAAGGACAGTACGTATCTTCATTTTCAGGCCCTTTAGTTATTCTCTGTCCAGTCTACAACAAAGCATAAACCTTTAACAAAAGGTTGTACAAAGTACAGCAGTCAAGTGAAGTCATCTACTATCCTTTGCTGGATGAGAAGATATTTCAGATATTTCACAGGGGTGGTATGGGAACTGGGAGCTGAGGGAGCCTAAGATGAGGCTTAGAAAATAAAAAACTAATCATTATTATTGGAGTGTTATCTCATTCATTTCTTAATTCCAATACCTGGCACCTGCCTAGCATACAAGAGTAGGTCAATGAATGTTTATGGAATAAATTTGCTAAGTGCAAAAGGTACAAAAGGTATGTAAGATACTTTCATCTTCAAAAGGAACAGTATTTCGTCAAACTGGTTTTTGTAGATCAGTATTTGAACAACAGAATACCAATGGAATCATTTCAAAATGCATTAAAAAAATAACCATAAAAACTCATATAACCAATTTTGTTCCACTAAATCAACTAACATGCAGGCTATGCTGCAAAGGTTTTGCTTGCTGATGAATTACAAATATGATGATAGAAAGCAACTTCTCTCAAATGACTCATCCAAAACAAAAATTCTTCAACTACAAACAATGGTTTGTAGCATTTTTGTCGGTCATGGACACTTTTAATGGCCTAATACAATCCAAGGACTCTTTATCAGAATCATTTAAGATGTATAAAATAAAATTCATAGAGTCAAAAAATGAAAAGCTTGTCAAGATCACAAAGTAAACCAATTACGTTACAGTTAAATTCTAACCACAGACTACAGGTCCAATCATGAGCTCCCAGTACAGGAACCGATAAGGGATGCGAGCTAACCTGAAAAAGCAAGATCAGCTACGTTGGCCTCCAAATTCCATATACAGCCTACATAACTTTTTTTAAAGTCATAAAATTTGCCTGTATTTGCATATTATATAGTTTTAAAAGTTTAAATAACAATTGAAGATTTTATCTCTGGTAGAGCAAGTTGCAACCACCTCTTATTCCTGTATCACACATATACTGTAATGCAAACTTTTCTAAAATTACTTCATCAGTACAAAATCATAATGAACACTACATTCGTATCATGTCCAACTCCTAGGTGGCTCTCCCAAGATGACAGAAATCTATTAACCTTTTTCCTGAATCCAAGAACTCATGACTTAACAGTTGGGGAGTCTGATACTTTTTGGTCCTGGCACAGCCAGCACACGCTGTTCTAAGGACTTCCAGATGCAAGATACAAACTACCTTTCCACAGGTTGTCTTTGGGGTCTATCATTGAGATACCTTATAGTTAACGCTGTCCTATAACAAGACCTGCTAAGGTATTTCAGTAACTAAATGTCTTCAGAGGATAGCTTAATCTACCCCTTAAGAGACTTATTTTTGGAAAATTGTAGGGTAAAGAGCAAAATTCTCTCTAGCGTGCTAGCCAAGTGAGTTCCAAACAGTTCCAGCAGGAAAATAACTCTGATTTTGGTTCTTAAAAGTGTATGTGACCTTAAAAATAGACCATAATTTTCATTTTTTAACTTTCTCTTCTTAAAAATAACTTCTGTCAGGGTCCCAAAATTGTATTACTTTATATTACACATTTCTAAGTAAACATTTAATGCTAAATAATAAAAAATATCCTGAATCACAATACAATCCAATTTCATAAGAGTTCTTTGATTTTCTTTTCATTTCTTAAAGAAAAAACAAACTAGTAGAAATAGGATGTCACTTCTCCACTAAAACCATTAACTTTTTAAAAGCTAGTATCTTTTGGACAAAATATTAATGTATTGACTACTAGTGTCAAGCTCCATGAACTATACATAATCTATATATATACTTTTAAAATTTAATTCACAGGAAAATGGAAACATCTGTTCTTGGTCACCTTTTTTTTTTTTTTTGCAGTGCAGGAAAAAATACGCATAGCAACAGTGAGCTTGATATGAACAAAGTTAATTAAATCACGTCCATGGTTCAAACATAACCATAAATCTTGACAAATCAGCCAAAGAATTTATTTTAAAAGCCTTTAAAGTGTGAGACAAAAACCTTGGTTTTCCTATATTATAACCAAGTCCTACCTAAAGTAAGTGTGTCTATGTGGAATTCTTATGACAAAGCAAAGAAATCATCTATTACTTTAGCAAATATTTATCTTTAGCATGATGAAGGGTCTTTGCCTCAACCACCACCACGAAACTGAAAGGAAGAAAAGGTAAAACTTACAAGCATCAAGTTAACCAAAAGGTAGCTTCAGTTAAAATTCTGTTCGCATTTGCCACTTCCATCAAATACTCAGATTTGGCAATGCTTTTCTTTCCAGAACAGTACTAAAAGCCAACCGGACCTTAATCACAAAGAACTTCCTAAATTTACAGTTAAACATCCCTCAAAAACAGTACTGAAAATTCCTTGGGAAAAAAAAAAATTTCAGATAAGGAAAACACTTGGCAAACCTTTCTAACAAATAAAGCCCCGCTGTACATTTTGCAGGCATTAATCAAACTTTGCATTGATAAAGAAAAACCTTGTAGCGGGAAAGCAAAAACTCAGGATGCGCCCCGATTGCAGGCTTTGCAAACCCTCCCTACTACACCTGTGCAAGGACTTCCTGCTCGCCGGCCTTTGAAGGCAGTTTGGGGAACGTCCCGTAAGTCCCGTCTCAAAGGTAAACATTAACTTTACACTTTACTACTGCCACCCACAAAGCACCAGCCCAGAGAGCCTCCGGAGCCCAGTTCATGGGTCTCGTCCAAGGAGAGCCAAATGGCCACGCTGGAACCCCTGGAAAGCTGTTGCTCCAGGGAGGGAGTGGCCGGGGAAAGTGAGGGGCAGCGCCAACGAGGCGTAATGTTCAGAACCCCAAAGCAGCCAGCGACCCCGCAGGCTCCAGGTTCTGCCCGAGCCCGCCCGCAAACCCAGCAGCCAAGAAGCACCACCGCCCGGGAGGGACTGCGCCTGTCACCCCTGCGCTTCCAGCCCGGCCGGAGGCACCTCGGTCCCGGCCAAGGAGCAGCGGGGCGGGCGGGCTGCGTGACCTCGGGCTCCAGAACCGCCCGCCCCGAGCCGGAGCCGGCGCCGAGGGGTGGGGCGCGCAGGAGATCGCAGGGCGCTGGAGCGGGGAGGCGAGGTCTGGTGCCGGAACCGCGCTCTCCGGGTCGGGCCGAGGGCGTCGCAGGTGGCGGGACTTCACCCCGGGACTGGTTTCCGAGCCTTACCTTGAGCTCGCAGCTAGACAGGAGAGCGCGGTCCAGGTGGAGAAATCCCGGCCTTCCACTCCCTCGGGGCGACCTCCCCTGGCCCAGCTCCGCCTCGCGCAGACACCAGGGTGACACGCTAACAGCTGCCACCGAGAGCGAGGCTCACCGGGAACTGGAGCGGAGGCGACAGCTCCCCGCCGCCCAGAGTGCCAGCCGGCGCACCGCGCATGCGCACAAGCCCCACCGCCCGGGGGCCAGTCAGGGCTGTGACACCTGTGATCAACAGGTCCCCGGGGCCCCGCCCCTCTTTCCACGGCGGCCCCGCCCCCCTCCTCAGCGGGCCCCGCCCGCGGGCTCACCCGGCAAGCCCCGCCCCCGCACGCGATTTCCCGGCTCTCCCGACCTGCCGAGCCCTATTCCCGCGGGGGTTCGCTGGGGCGCGCAATCCGGTAGACTTATCCCGGGGACGCAAGATCCCGCGAGAGCGGCGCTGGGGGAAAGGTGGCTGCAGGTTGGGTCTGTGGGCTGGAGGCGAGGAGGGTTAGTTCCTGCGGTGGAGGCGATCGTTCCGGAAATCTTGGTCATTTATTCGGTATTTTCTAAGCCCAGGATTGCGGATCCACCGAGGACTGGGTTCACGTTTGATGTTACCTGAGACAGAAAAGCGTCTGCGCTGCCGGCTCGCAAAACCGCTTGCGGATGCTCAGTTCCCTGGGTTTCTGGGCGTCGCTCCCATCGGTTTGCAGCTGAGAGCCTTCCATTGGATGAAAGTGTATCCTGGAACTCGTGGCTTTGTGATTGTAGATAAACTAAGAGTCTTGATAAACATGTTGGCTCGTTAATGGTTAATTTTGATTCTAAAAAATTGGCTGCCTCCTCCCTCGGCTTTCGAACAGGTTTTAAGCTACAGCTTAGGAATTGGGCTTGATATATATATATTTTTTTACTATAACGTGTTTCTTAGGAATAGTAGGGAAAGGAAAAGCCTTCACCATCTTCAGTATCAAAGGTGCCTCTCAGTATACAGTAAACACGATGTTGCAACTCAGAACAAATCCGGTGTAGGTGCGACATGAAGATTATACATATGGATCTAAGTAAAATCCCAGCTAACACTAAATGTTTATTTGAATAAACAGGGTGAAGGAACATTTTAGGCTAATACTGAATTAAGCACTGAGGAAAATACAGTGAAATTTAACACATGATTTCTGTCTTCAAGAAATAAACTTTTGGAATGGAAGTGGGGGGGCAGGGAGAATTACATTAAAAAAATAATAATACCAACACATTAACTTTCTTTTGGGTTTTCTGGTGCCACTTTTCCCTGATTCTGCAGTAACCTCTCTGACTTACTTTAAATGTTTCTCTTCCTGTGCACTCCATTTTCTTTTGTTCAGTGTTAACCCTGTCCCCTTGAGCAATCTTCTTCCCATCAGTCTAGGACACCAAGAAACTTCCAAGCATCTGTTCATTCATACTTTTAAGCAATACCATCTTCTTTGGGATTTCACACAGGTACCTTAATGATGTCCCAAATTAAGGTGGACATCTTTGCCATTCCCTACATGTGATACCAAATCTCTTCCATTTCATCTGGTGCCAACCTCATTTTCATTCTGTTTCACATGAATGATACCCTCTTGCTGAAATCGATGAGTACCCCTATCTTTTTCTTACTTCCACTCTATCCTAAAATCATTCAGTTGACTCATATCTTCTTAACTGTCCCCCAAATGCACATCTCTTATTAATCTCCACTCTCACCACCTTCGTCCATGGAGTTATCACTTCCTCTGACTCATCTTCCCTGGACAATTGCAATAGTCTCTAGTTATTTCACCAGTTCAAACTTCATTCTGTTAATACTTCTGACATAAAAATACATCATGGCATGGACCTCCCCTGCTGGTGCAACGGGTTAAAGCACAAGGCTGCGAAGCTGGCCATAGCCACTTCAGCGCGAGTGCGCGAGTTTGATTCCTGACCAGGGAGGTGATCAATAGCCAACAGACGGCTCCTGACCTACCCGCTTCTCCCCTCGGCAGTGTACTTTGTCAATCTGCCTGTTCTGCTCCCCTCTGTCTCTGGTGAAGCTTCTCACTGGCCCTTCACCTCTGGCCTTTGCCGCAGTTCTGTGCATAGATAAATCTTTTTTTTTTTTTTAATGCATCATGGTGTTCCTCTGCTAACAGTTTTTCAGGGACTCACCCTTAGCAGGGCCCTTTATGATCTGTGCCCAGAGTGTTAAGTTCATCAGCCATTTTTGCCAATTTGTTCCACACTTGCTGTACTGAACCCCTTACCATTCTGTGACCTGCCAGTTTCTCTAAGGATCTTTGAGATCTCGGTGGAACATTTAATCTCCTCCAGGGATGCTTTCATAACTTCCTGAGACAGATTGGCCCTTCCCCCTCCTTTTTTAACTTATTGTATTATAGCAACTATAATACAAATAATTATCACATGATTCCATTTTTGCAAACACACTTGACAGAGCAGCCCAATCTTGAAAAATAATGATAAAAGCTCACATTACTTCCTCACTAGAGATTACTGAAAAAACCCTTCAGTTCACCCTGCTCAAGAATTTGACTTAACCTGGGCTACACTTTTTTCATCACGTGATTTCAAACTTGCAACCAGTTCTTGATATATCTAAATTCTGAGTTTTATATGATAGATTTGTAATAGGTCACAAGGTAAGCAACAACAGGGCAGCCTGAAGCAAAGATGAGAAAAATCAAACATAGCTTTACATCGTGTGCTAGGACGGGAGTTGTTCTCAGAAACGAATGGTCATGAATAGCACAGCACAGGCTTTAAACGTACCACCTCTGAGAATGACTATTATTGAGTGATATGTGTGTGTTTGATTCAATATTTATTGGAAGGAGTCAAATTTACGAAGAGGGGTCTCTGTACCTCACAATGGCCTCAGATCATGAAAGGGAATAGGCCTGAAGTGCTTCTGCTGAGGCCCAGCCCAAAGTTCACACCACTGATGTATATACCACCTACCATTGTTCTGGACTGATTAACTCAGACTTGGGAATGTACAGCCTTGTGATGTGATGAACCAACACCGTCTCTGATGAGTGGTAGAAATAGCAACATTCTACCCTGACTTGCTGTGACTTGGTAGCTCCAGTAGCTAATCCCTAGACAAAAAAACTATGACTGATTTGGGTGGGGTAATGTAACATACAGCATGGACACAGAGTGGCTGGCTGGCTGACTCAGGACCAGATGCTAGGTATCTGAAATGCATAAGATGCATCTAAGTGCATAAGAAAATGATGAAGATCAGGGCCCTCCCTGGTAGCGCAATGAGTTCACGCTGTGAAGCTAGACAGAGCCATGTCTGCACAAGTTCAGTCCCTGGAGATGACCCACATGGCGCGACAGACCTCTTCTGACCCATCTGCTGCTCCACTCAGCAGTATAGTCAACCTGCCTGTTCTGCTCCCCACTCTGTCTCTGGTGAATCTTCTCACCCCCCGCATCTCTGGCCTGTATGCATAAATAAATAAAATTAAAAAAAAAAAAAAGGAAATGAAGACACTGTGTTACTTTTACTAATTGAGCCCCTCCTCATCAGAAACCCTGTTTTTTCATGGCTGAATGTCCAGGGTTTAACTCTATAATTGCTAGTACAGAAGCTTCAACATGTGTTCAGTGGATGGAATGAGAAATCAGAAATTTTGATTTTTTTAGCAACTTAGAGACTTGCGTGTGGGCCACGATACTTTGGAAGGACTTCTGTAAGAGATCAGATCTGAGTTTCCAGAATGTAAGTTGATTTAAGGGCATATCTGAAGACAGAGGAAGAGACAAGACTACTTCAGAGCAAAGTTAGAGGAAAAGGAATAAACCAGGCAAGTGCAGGCTGAAATGGGAAGCTTTTGTAAATCTGTGAACAAGATGATTGGTTTGGAATTATATACAGAAGATGTGTAAGGGAAATTACTGGTAAGCAAGAAGATGAGGTAACCCGATGCAGTTTCAGAGAAGTTGCAGGCTTGACTTGATGATGACAGCAGCCAAAAATACCTTGTGACCCCTCCTTCCTGGTACTAACATCCCAACTTTGGTGATTGCGTCATCTCACAGCTTCTCTCCAACCTCATGGCTGCTTCTTTCAGTCTACTTTTCTCTTACACTTTCTAATCTACTTAAAGCTTCTAAACGATACTGTGTTCCTGCAGCTGGTCCTGAGATCTCATGTACCCTCATGGTTTTAAATCCACTCTCACACTGCAACTAAAGAGGTCTGTTTAAAATGTAGATTTATAATCCCCTACTTGAAATTGGTCAATGACTTGTCCTCTACATAGAATAAAACCCAAATTCATGCCAAGACTCTGGGAAAATCTGCCCTTAGCTCCTCTGCTATTTTAGATTTTCATTCTTTATTTCCTGTGACTGGTTTATTTAACTCAAGCCATTTATTACAATCTGTGATTATTTAGCTTATTTACTTGCTGATATATCTGTTCTTTTTCTCTCTACCTGGGAAGAAATTTCAGGAAGGACCTGTGCTAAAGAGTTGCTTCATACCTGAGGTAGTATCTACTGAGCACATTAAGACTTTCATTCCTTTTCACTCTTTTCTATAAAATTAAAATATACAGTCACCAGCAGAGCAGAATGAAGACACCCAGGAAAAAAGTGGTCATGACTGACAATATCTTCTAGAAGCCAGCTGGTCCGCTTCTGCTTTTAGACCTTGTACCACATATACCCTTTTGTCCTGGACTCCCAGCTTCTCACAGTCAGAACCACAACTAGAATTATAAGGCCAATTAAGTATTCATAAAATGGTAAAAAAAAAAAAGTGGTCAGGTAGGAAAGAAAGAAGGTAAGAGAGACTAGCACACAAGAATGAGATTAAAATTTTAACATTTTTGATTAAGTCATCTCTTAGGAGGTTAGAAAGCCTAATTTTTAAATATACACATATTTGGGGGAAAAAACTTTCAACAACACATGTGTCAGTGTCTGATTAATATACATTCTGTTCTTTCTGCTGAGGAAATATCTACTGTGGCCATAAGCTGCTTTGCCTTTTCATACTTTTTTGGTTAATAGATGCACACACTTATGCACAGGATGGGCATCACTCTAACTGGACAATTTTGTCCTTTTCTGGTCAGTGACTGGTGTCTGTATGTGTGACTCAGCCTAATCAGCAT